GAACATCTTGGTGAGTTCTTGGTAGCTTGCCAAGCATGGTGGAAGGTCAGTCCAGTGTATTTTGCTACATATCTCATTTCTTTTACTGTGCCCCAGTTAGCAGGACTTGGAATGTCTGGTTAGGCTACTGTTGCCTGACCCCAAATCATTCCAATTCCTTGATAGGCTAAAATAATTTGACATGTTCCTTAGAGCAGACCGTGTTGTAAGAATGTGTACATATGATCTCTGTTTGCGAGCAAATAAATCAAGTCTTGAAACCATTGACTCAGTAAAGAATTCCGTCATACATCACCACCACAAACTTCTTCTTTTCAAAGACCTCGGAGATCTTCTTCACTAACTGATGTAGGACACTTCGACGGACACAACATCACAAACCACTGAATACATGAAAATGTGATTCCAGTGGCCTTTTCAGGCCCCATGGCTACAACTACATGAACAGGAATCCATTTTCTATAAACCCCTGACCATAAGAAACCACATTTTCACACCACTTCTTCCCATGATGTGAACACAGATATAGCAGTGACAATGATATTCAGTCACTGGCTTTTATGAGAAGTCTTTTATTGCCTTCCAATACAGCTTCTGTCTTGCATGAAGTGGGCTCAATGCTTCTCACCAAGATTTTCAAAGCTTGGGTACTGGTAAACAGAGATACTGGTACCATGGCAGGTGGTATCAGTTGCAGGAGGGTCAATGTTGTCTATTGCAGGGTGTTGTAAAAGATGCTTTCAGTTTGCAGGCAATAATAACTCCATCTTCTACATTCGGGAAACAAATAGCATCACCAGTTGGGCAGATATTTCTAAAAACCCTATCATAAACAAAATACCATGCTGATTGAGAATGTCAATAAGCAATCTTTTCCTGCCTTAAAACACGAACATGGCAATATTCTCCACAGCAAATGGGTCTTGCTAGCCTTAGAATGTCTGTGGACTGTGTTCTTCCTTGGGTACGCAGCAAAACAGTTGTACTGCAACAGCTTTCCTATCTTGATTGTTCCATGCCGATTTTTATTTAATGTCTGCTCCATGGTCAACCATACATATGAATTGGAGAACTGATGATGGCAACCCAGCCTTCTTCGGCCATTTCTATCGTCGGGCATCGTTTTGAATTTTTACTTGTGTTTGAGCATATCCTGTCGTATTATTGTTGCAGTAAAAGGTCAAACGAACAGTTTCATTGTATTTGTCAACCTCAGTCAGATGGAGCCTTCATCCTCTTTGGAATGCTAGTAAAACATCACTTCCTTCTTATTGTGAGCTTCCAAAGTTGAGGAACAAGTGAAATCTATTGGTCTTTAAGTGTAGTAGAATGAACTTCAAGTAATTCGACACCAATTTGTTTTTAGGCTACTAAGAATTGTTCTTAATAGAACCTTCACGTGTAGTTTTTGTCTCATTGATGTCTGTCACCACCCAGAGACACCTAGTGCATATGCATCTTTTGTCAAGGTTCTTTTGTGTTTCATATTCCTTCGCACTAAGATGCTTTTTCTATATTGCAATGTGCAGCTAAGCAAGCAGGTTGATATTTCATCAATTTTTGTGCCACCACAATATCTCTTTGCAATTAAGTTTAGCATGAGTCTTTTGTCAATGAGTGCCTTTTGCACACACTGATTCCGTCATTGAGTTTCATTATCATTGCTTGTCGGAGAGCACTCTCAGCCACATGCCATAAAAAAACTTTGTTGTGGTTCCTGTGTTCTTTGGCTGTGGCAATTCCTTCCTTCTGCAACTTTCATCACTATCAACTACAGATAGCTACTTTTGGGGCTCTCTTTGTAACATTTGTTAAACCCCAAGCCTCTGCCTCACATAATTTGTATTGTTTTCCCTCAGTGTCTCTGCAATACCATCTCCACCATCCCTGTCTTTCCATATCAAACCTATTGGAAGGTCATTGATTGAGCTGAAAAAGAGAATAAGTCTGCTAATTTGCTGTAGCCATCTTCCTCACTTCCAGTCTTTGGAGATTTAAGTTCTTCCTTCGTTGGTCTCTTGACAAAGTGTTAATTTGGCCCAGTTTGTTTTCTCCTCTCCTCAGGATTACTTTAGGACCAATATTCATCGCCATTGTGGTACAGAGCCGAGGGTTTATCCTTTTACTACCTCTCGTATCATAGTGCTCGTATGGGATACAACTAAGTTCAAGCAATTGTTTGTCTCTACACCTAGCCCGCTGATCGTTCATCCAGTATCATTTAAGTCCCGTGCGATCTGTGCCACCATCCAGATAACTTAACTCATTATCCGTGGCTCGGCTCTCTCGCGCTGGCACATCCTGTCAATTCAGGTGCGGCTACCTAACCTTATTTGGGGCTAATATGATAGTGACGGAACACTAAGTACTCAATAATCTTTTACTGTGATTTTTGTACTTAGCTGATACTGAACCCCGTGCTCACTTTCACAGCAGTGTTGTCACCAGTGTGTCTCTGGTAATACATTGACATTCACTCTTTATAAGCATGTTTCGTTTGAATGTTATCCATTTCAGAGTTTTCAACACAAAATTCAGATTCTACATACTCAAAAACATGGAAATCAACAATGAAATCACCTGAATGCTGAGCACAATAAATTTTATGTCAAAAAGGAAATTTGACATCTACATTTGGCGGCCATCTTGGAAAATGGCCGCCATCTGGGAATTTTGAATGTCCAATCGGATCGATTTGATTATTAACCCATATTGAATCTCCATGCCAATTTTCATACTCGTATCGCCATATGCAAAATTCCCTCAAAAATTGATATTTAGCTGCTCTGCAATCGGAGAATTCAACCTGCCGCTCAGAACCCCCACCCTCTTCTCCCCTGCACATCGCGTGATCGTCGTGGCGGGATGATTCGACCAAATCATCTATTAGGAAAAAAAAGTGACGTCAAGCACAAGCCATGCCCGTACCTACGAGTATTCCATGTGTCCAACCTACATATAGGCTGATCTGTAAACCTAAATAAAAAAAAAATATATCGCGCAGGGGGAGTCTGCTGACTTCCGTAATGATCCATACATCACCTGATGTGCCGGAAGGGTTGGTATGCGTGTATGTAGGGCAAACGTTTCCACCTACCTAGGGTAGGGCAACAGATATATGAGGACACCCTCAGGCAAGGACAGCAGGACTACCACCATAATACAGGACCAACACACATATTTCACCTCGTCCGTGGTGTCATATTGTTCCGCACATAATCCGTGCGGTACTTTTTTAACTGTGTGTACCAGCCTTTGTTATACTAGTGTGAAATAAGTGATTTCTAAGAGCTCCCTAAATTTGCTGTAAAACGCCAAACAACCAGTGACGAGATAAAAGAACCTTACATACTTCCGTTTACTTCTTTATTCATACGAATGTCGCCAACACAAGTGAGTCTTACCATAAATGAAGTAATTATCTTACGTATACAATTCTTGGTGCCAATATTCATTATGCAGAGAACCACCTTCCATCATTCTTACAAGTGTTTACTAAGCCTTAAAAGCTTATTTGTGTTAACTCCTTATGATTATTTGAATGTAAAAATTTTTTCAAGTATAATAATAAAACTGTCACTTTTCGTTTTACCTACCTACTACCATACTAAATTGATAACTATCTAATTGAATACTGTTACCTTGAGTACACATTGTCTTGTCTATAAGACTTCTGCTTTACAATCTTCCCTAATTATTAATTATAAAGTGATCATTGGAAGTGCCTACAGGAGATTGAATGGACAATAGATGTGCCTGTCAGAGAGGGAGATGAATCTGAAAACACTTCTAGTTCAAAACAAACTTTTATTTTTGGGCCTCTTTATTTTTCTTAACTTAGCTTAATTTTGAACTTCATTATAAATTGCTAAGAGTAGACGGGTAATTAAAACAGTGCAGTCGACAAGTAGTAACTAAAGCTTGAATAAGACGTGAATTATTCTTCGTGCTAAATACTAGTCATAACACCATAGTGTCATGACTCAGTCTACATCATTTTCGTAATGCATAGCTAAACTACGCATCATAGTTCTAGTACGAATTCCAGTGACAATTACAGAAGGAATTATTTCATTTATTTACTAACTTGATCTTAAATCATTCAAAATGGATGGTCCTCTTGCTCAACAACGCCAAGATTTTGTGTTACTAAAGTTTGATAATAGAGTGCCAATTTAAAATAAGACGGGAAATACTTGAGCACGAAATTAAATTAAAAGAACAAGAAAGTGAGCGAGAATTCAAGTTAAAGCACAAGAGAGAGCGACAATTAAAATTAAAACAACAAGAAAGAGAAGCGAAACTGCCAAGATTGGGACAATTAGCACAGCGTCAAAGGAACTCCTCACTCATGTACCTGATAATACAGTAAACCTGATTTTTTTTTATCTTGGTAACAATGTTCATCTGGTGGAGAACATTTGATGAAAATGATCCTGATACATTTATTGTTCTCATGGAGAAATTTGCTTCAAACCTTAAATGGGAAAAACAACATTGGTAGGAAAGGTTGACCACGTTAATAGTAGTGTATTACAAGTATACGTGTTGGTGCCAAAAACTTATCGTACACGATTCAGGAATCACCAGAAGACACCTTACTCTACTTATTCGGAGTTAGGTGAAACGTTAAATCGATATTTTGAGAAGTGGATAACAGCTAGTAATACCTCCACCTTTGACGAACTTTAGTACATGACGATATAAAAACAATTTAAGTATTGACTTCCTCCAGAAATTCGTCCGTACCTTGATGAAAAAGAAGTACGTGAAGTGTACAGAGCGTCGAAGTTCAGTGTCCAGGTGGAAATTAAAGGAATTACTCTTTATCAATGGTTTCCATAAGAGATTTATAGATACTCATATAGGCAAAACCCTTAATAGGATTTTTGGTCCCACACAGCCTCAAATCCGCACGGTTCCTAATGTGTTATCTATTTCACCATCTCGTACACAGCCCCACTCAGTTTCACCCTTAGAAACAAACTTATTACTCCTACCTGTAAAGGGTCTTATAAGCGACAGGTGTTGTGGTAGTAACGGGGGCTTCAGTGACACTATGCTCAAGACATCAATCTGATAAGCACTGATAAACTTCATGACACTCATTCGCTCTGCTTGTGGACTAACGGGAACACCGATGTCTGCCTCCTCTCGCTAGAGTAGACCCAACATTCCGCTGAACTTGCCGTTCTTTTGCGATCCCCAGATACGTTGAGGCGGCTCACTAACCTCAATACTGTTAGGTAATATTTATAAATTTGTTTTACTAAAGTGTCTCTTGCATTTCAAGGGAAAATTAACGAACATTTAAAAAAATAAAAAATTGCTGTGATTTTATTGTTCGTTCATGACTTATACAGTATATAGCAATAGCATGGACAGTGTTGGACACGCACAAATGACAGCCATGTTGTTCTGATAACCTGAATTGTCTTATTCAAAATTAAATTAGCTGTCTGATGCTACATACTCATTTAATCCACTATATTCAATAATTTTCCTGGCATAAATTCCCAAGAATGTTATACAAATTCTACCTGAAATTGAGTTTACGTGATAGGACAGAGAGCAGTCTAGTATCAAGACAGTCTCTGAGTGTGACGGTACTGTCTGGCTCCTTGCTGCCTGGTGTGTAATCCGTATATGGGAAGTAACGTATAATTGAGAACTGGATCTTGAGGCCCATGAAGTTAAGAAACTGTTCTGTTGACAAATTATGAACCATTAGATTCGTTGTAGAAGAATCCTCGTCAAGTCACTGTTCTACAGGAAAGCATTGCGTGTAGATGTAGGGATTTCATTCAATTTTGAAGCCATTTTGTTGAGGATGTCATTATTATGTCAGGAAAGTGGCTGTTAGATTCAATAGTATTACAACAGAATATGATTACAACAAAAGCGCATTGGTGTGGAAATGACCTGTACATGCTGACATAATTGTGTTCCAGATAACTCAGGGTTGTATTCTTGAGAAAAAAATAAGGCAAAATACCACATACACATAGATCAAGAAAGCAGTAGGCTTCCAACTACAGTACGTGTGAGATCTAATGGAACTGTGAGTTGGACAAAGGAAGAAATTTTTAACACTAACATCATAAATACTCGGGCAGGTAGACTCCTCACGCAATAAAAGCAAAAAGTAGAACACATCAGTAACAAGATGCAGTCAAGGTGTGGACTGGCGTTGTTGATAATTTTATCGGCCCATATCTGCTGCCGCAGAGACTGACTGGTGATTCGAAGAGGCATTTCCTCGCCAGACTTTACCACGCTGTTCTAAAACGAGCCTATCAGAACTCGACGACTAATGCGTGATGGTGCACCAGCTCATTCCTTTCGTTTAACGAAGGAATATTTTGATGTTTTGTATCTTATGACACCTCGTCGTAAGATACAAAACATGAAAATATTCCCTCGTTAAACGAAAGGAATGATCTGTACACTATGATGCATAAGTCGTCAAGTTCTATTCCATGGCCACCTACGTCACCAAATTTAATTTATCTTTATTATTATTCATGAGATTATTTAAAAAGCACAGTTTATTACATAGAAGTCCGAGCACTTGATGATTTTGTGACAACGAGCTTGAGACAATTACGAAACGACCCGCAATACTCAGAAAATTGTTGAGTGTGACGGATAATCACTGGTGCAACCGAGCTGATTTATGCATTCAAGCATAAAGAATTTCAAAAATTTTCTTTGCTGAATCAAATGAATTATGCTAAATATTTACATAAAATGTCACGTAATTTATATTAAAGTTCCAATGGATCTTACACGTGCTATAGCTGGAAACCTTCAGATTTTTCAATCCAAGTTTATATGGTGACTTGTTTTGTTTATATTTTGGTCTCAAGAATGCACCCTGAGAGTAACGAAATATATTTACCCTGTAGATGTGGTGCTTGTTGACTGAATTCACATTGTTTTTTTTTCAAGAATATAAGAAAAAATTAACTTAGAATGAATTTTGAAATATAAAAAAGTTTACACAAGTTAGGTGTTTTACCCTTTTCAATCGTGTAGAAATATAAACGACCTGAAAATGAGTGAATATTATGTTTTGTCTTTAGGAAGAATATCGGTATTACAATAGTAAGGTTGGAAAGCAAAACTCACCCTGAAAGAAGAGGTCAGCAGTATGATAGGGAAGGGAGGTGAGGTTCCACTTGTGGATAAGTTGGACGTCCGCCTCCCCATTGTTGCAGTACAGACACCGCCGGTACACCCACACACGCTCACTCACTGATGCTGCCAAGGGAGAGAGGCTTTTCCATAATTAAGTATGCATCAAACAATAAATTATATTCAGTAATATCACAAGGTGCACACAGAGATGCTTGTGTTTTTATATTTGATCATAGTGCGTCACTTCTGTAATTTATTTTCGGGAGACATATCACTTTCTCTTCGTTAGTGTTGCCGTGTATCGCTGGAGCGGATATTGGTTACAAATTCATGAGATGAATTATGGAAAACTTTAGAGGAATAAATAATGCTTACAAATATCAAAATAATATTTTTTTTGCCACAAGATATTGAATTACGAGAGACAGTTATAGATGGGGGTGAGCAGATGAGTGTAGAATTATGAAATATGAGCTACTTAAACTTTGCAGGCCCATAACATGTGGACAAATTTAAAAACTTCTTTGAATACCAATGGCTTCATAAATCACAGGCTCAATTATCCATATACTATGTCTCTCTCTCTTTATATATATATATATATATATATATATATATATATATATATATATATATATATATATATATATATATATATATAAATATATACATTTATTCAACGACCTCACCAGCCAGGACTCGAACCCTAGACCTAAAGTGTGTGTGACCAGGGAACGCTACCGACCATGCCACAAGGACACAAAAATCATTCTTCGACTATGTTATATTTCACATAAAGCCTGTTCATCGAGCTGATGGCGCAGTGAACCTCCCATTGGGGATTGCCCGTGCCACTTATGTGGTGGGAGTAGCTGGAATGGACTAAAATGAAGTATATATGGCACTGCAAGCCACACCAGCTGATTCTGCAAAATGTTACCCCACCACATAAGTGGCAAGGGCGATTCTCATGGCGCCATTTGCTCCGAAACTGGTTAGTGAGGTCGCGAGGTTCGTTCACGCGGTTATATGGACTAAATGAAGTGTCTATATTTCATTAGCCCAATAAAGCACGTGGACTTCTACATATAATCAACACCTCTACCCTACCAGGATTCGAACCCACGATCTTATAATTGTGACCGGGGACGCTACTCTGGGCCACCAGGACACGAAAAGCAGCCTACAATTCTGTTATATAGCTTTCACACAAAGCCCGTTCAACGAGCTTATGGTGTTTCGCAACCACAAGGAAACATGAAGTTCCTAAGCTCTTCATGTAATTCACACCTTCAAGGGGGAGACTATATACCTTGACAAGGCTAATATATAGAGTAGAGGAGAGGAGATCAAGTCCCTAGAATCAGAGGGTGTCCACAATGGTCCGGCATTACAAGGCAGTGACCCTACTAATCTCATGCTATAGTAGTTGTATTCGTGTCAGGCCATAGGGTGGCCATGCACACCCAACCTTCTCACCCGGTTACAAAATTATCCAGTTTATACACTGGCACCAAAAAAGTATCGTGGTAGGTGTAATATGTATTAGGATATATCGGTAGCGGCGGTATGCATCTTCAACTTCCTCCTCCACTAGGTGTTGCCATAAAGGGTTGATAACTAGTGTTTGTTTCCTCTCTTTTCGGATTGTTGCTTGTGTCGACTGAAATTGATGAGTGTGAGGGTTCGTCTCGCGAACGGGGTATAAAACAGAGGCAATATGAAGCAGTAGAGATCTACATGCTAGACGACATGGAAAGTTATTATTGCCCTCATACCCAGCGGGTTCGGCGTCAGAGATACCTCGGCGGCGATACCTCAAACTGGTGCTACAGACGACAGGTCTCGGAGAGAAGTCTACGCTGCACCTCTAGGATGACCAGGTTGAGTGCGGTTTATTTGGCAGCATAAATTAGCGTAGTAAGATTCTACAAGTATCACAAATAATTTTATTATTAACAGGGAGCTCTCTGGCTTCATACTGCCTATTTATCACTCCCACCTGATGAGTATGAATGTGTTTGTTTCACTTGACCAGGCCAGGTAGCTACCAGCAGGATTACAGGGCTGTCAACAACATACGGCTGAATCGTAACTCGCCTTTCCCAATACCTATTTCGCTACTGGTCTCAAAATTGTTCACAATTACAGTATGCACCGATATTTTTATTGCAAGTGTACATGACATTACTCAAATTCATGTTGACGGATTCGATATGTTTAATGAGATTAGATTCTATAATGTTCCTACTGACAATTGAATTACAATTTTATATTGACGAGGCATTATCCCAGTCAATGCAAGGCTTATTATCTCTCCTCATATGAACGAACAGAGCAGTCCTACCATTACAACAAAATCTGCTCCCTAAGAGCCCTCAAGACTCCATAGATATAAGAATAGCACTATCCCATCTATTATTAAATAATAAACAATTCCTGATTGGATGTACTCTGTACAGCCTTGTAAATGTATTCAATGCATGTTTAAGTATCATTACAAGTTCGAATCAAATGTAAGTCTGTATATTTTCACCCAATCGGCCGCAACTCTATTAATAAACCGTATATTATTATTAGTTATTATTATTATTATTATTATTATTATTATTATTAGCATTGGATTCCTGGCCTTCCCAATACTACAAGTCTATGCTGTTTAAGCCTAGTTCCAAGATCTTTACCTGTCTGGCCTAAGTAGAACATAGCATACATTCCTTGCAAGGGACCTTGCAAAATGCAAAACATTGCTTGGGGAGTTCTTGGATTTAACATCTGTTTCTACAGTGCATGAGTTTTTTAAATGCCACATTAACGTTCCAAAATGGTAATACTAAAATTCATATATATATATATATATATATATATATATATATATATATATATATATATATATATATATATATATATATATATATATATATATATATATTATCTGTAAATCTCTTAATTTTTAAATATCCAGGTTCTAGGCGTAAACAAACAAAAAGTGAAGTAAATTAAAGAGAATAAAAATAAATAAAGTAAACCTTTAAAATTTAATTCATTAAATATTAACACAATAAGAGCCTCGTAGGCTGTCACAACAAATTGATTCACCATCGAAACTTTTAAGACACAAGTGATACAAAACATCAAAAGAATAAAAATAAAGCATTGGATTACGTTAACACTGTATAAACATATAAAACTATCACTGAAATTAACTAACGTGAAACAACACTGAATTACTTGAATACAACTAAGCAAATACTGATGGACACAAACAGAGACATACATAGGTACTCACATAGAATATACCACATTGGTGGCGACAGGAACAACACAAATAAATTAAGTAACAAGGTCGGCTCGCGACACGCTACCCGCCGGTGGGTCGTTTAACGATGCAGATGGTCGTTAGCGAACAAAGAATGCTGGTTACAATACAAAATAAAAAAGAAATAAGATGGGCTTGAACAAATAATGACAGTTAAAACCTTAACAGCACAGGGTAAGGTGACTAGAATATATAATAGTAAATTTAACATCATTACAGGAATAATATGGAACAACATGGGGCATGTTATATATAGAAAAAATTGACCACAAGGAAAGAAGAAAACACGAAGTTCCCAAGCGCTTTCGTGTAAAATTACAAAAGCGCTTGGGAATTCGTGTTTTCTTTCTTTCTACCTAGATCACATCTACAGTGGTTTACGCACTTATATATATATATATATATATATATATATATATATATATATATATATATATATATATATATATATATATATATATATATATATCATGTAAATTCACAATGAAAACGTGGATAAGATAAATCTTGATAAAATCACACGGGAAAATGGAAACAACGGAGTACCTTAGCTTTCGTCTTTATTCAAGACATCTTCAGAGGCAACTGGATTACATGGACAGAGAGAGGCTTAAATATACAGGGTGACCTAAAAACATGAGGTCAGGTCATAATGATGACATCCACTAATCCCCACACCAACACAACCGTAGAGGAGCTTAAGAGAAGGGTGGTGACGTGACTAGACAGGTCAGGTCAGAAAAAAGGGACCCACAAAATAACTATCATACATCAAGATCAAAGGTTTTCAAAGCATTTTTAACCTTGGGCCACTGACAAATAAATTTATGTAACATTATCAGTTTTGAACTGACCATCACTAAGGTTTATTGATTTAATTCCTTAATCAAACTAGCTTCAACCAGAAGTCTTTCTGTGACACAAGATGATTTGAATACTTCTAAGCTTTTTTCCCAAGCAATGGGGTGATTATTATTCCTAACATGAACGAACAAGGCACTGCTTTCAGATGCAGTTCTGATATTATACTTATGTTGTTTGATTCTGAGCTGCAGTGTTTTTCCTGTCTGACCTACATAATTACAATTACATTTGCTACATGGAATACAATAAACACTTCCATTTACATTCAAACTTGGGCTATTCCTTATTAACATATTGGTAATGGTTGAGTCATACTTGAAAACAACATTAATATTTAGAAGCTTGAGGGACCGAACTAACGGGACAAATTCATCACGATAGGGCAGAGTCAAAATATTCTTAAGTGTAGGAACTTGTCTGGTTAGAGAGGAATGAAAGGATTTTTTAGCCCTTTTAAAGCAACGATCAACAAACACAGAAGGGTACCCAAGTTTCTGTGCAATAGAACGAATGTGTTTAAATTCATCGTCAATAAATTCAGAGTCACAAATACGCAGACATCTTAGGAACATAGCAGAAAAAACTGACATTTTGGTAGACTCAAGGTGATTGGATAAAAAGTGAATGAAACTGTCTACCTGTGTGGGCTTTCTATATACCTTAAATTTATAGTTTTGGCCATTTCTCATGATAAGCATATCAAGAAATGGAAGGGATTCATTTATTTCTCTTTCAATTTTGAATGTGATACTAGGGACAATATTATTAAGCTTGTCTAAAAATTCCAATGGGTCACTGTTTTTAGGCCAAAGACAAAGAACATCATCTACATATCTATACCAAGGAGGAATAAAGTCCACTATATTGGGTAGTAATCTAGACTCAAAAAACTCCATATAAATACAGGCTAGAGGAGCAGAAAGACAATTACCCATGCTCATGCCAAATACTTGCTTGTAGCGCAATAGATATATATATATATATATATATATATATATATATATATATATATATATATATATATATATATATATATATATATATATATATATATATATATATATATATATATATATATATATGTGTGCTACAGTAAAGGATAATTGCCGATTAACGATAACTCCTATGTATTTATCCTTTTAGAAACTTCTGACTGGTAATAAGAGATTATGTAGATTATAAAATACATGTATATTAGAAGCTTGAAATAAAACAAAACCTAACCTAACTTAATCTAACCAACCTAACTTTTTATTAAATATATAACGTAAATTCATATTTGGTCAACATTTACTAACTTTCCTG